CAACACTAGAGGAAGCCTTCAGAAGCTTGGACTGGGAGAACAAGGGTGTCCGTGTTGATGGAGAACAACTTACCCATCTGAGGTTTGCGGACGACATCCTTTTATTGAGTCACGACCCAGAGGAACTGAATGGTATGATGCAAGAGCTCGATGCGGCAAGTAGAAAAGTTGGCCTTAAGATGAATATGAAGAAGACGAAAGTGATGTCCAATTCCAACACAGGCATAACACAATTTAAAGTGGGGAATGAAACACTGGACACAGTAGATGAGTACATATATTTGGGACAGAAGATCACATTTAAGGTTGGGAATTCAGAGGAGATTCAGAGGAGAATACAACTTGCATGGGCAAAATTTGGCAAGTTGAGTTACATATTCAAGGACAGAAAAATACTGCAAAAGATGAAGCGTCAACTCTTCGACCAGTGCATCATTCCAGTTTTAACATATGGCGCTGAGACTTGGGCACCTTCAAAGAAATCAGAGCAAAATTGCGAGTCACCGTACGGGCAATGGAAAGAATAATGGTTGGGGTCACAAAGAGAGACAGAATAAGGAACGAAGATCTTAGAAGAAAGACAGGGGTGCAAGACATAATAGTTGAGATCAAAAAGAAAAAGTGGAGTTGGGCAGGACATGTCATGAGAAGAGACAACCACAGATGGACCCTGAAAGTAACGGATTGGACGCCATTATCATTGAAGAGGCGAAGAGGAAGACAGCCTAAGAGATGGCGAGATGAAATCTCTGATTTCATAGGGAAGAAATGGAAACAACTGGCAAGGGATCGAAAAGCATGGAAAGTTAGTGGAGAGGCCTTCATCCAGCAGTGGATTGAATTAGGCTAATGATGATGATGATGAATGCCATGCTAGCAGTTGATCCAGATAATATTTGTTGTTGGGTGTTTCACGACTGCAGAAAGTTTGAAATGATTTCAATGTATTTTGCCAAATATATGAGCAAAAAATGTCATTTTGGATGTAACATTGAGACCGTGTCAGTGTTACGTCCAAATGTGACATTTGTACCTTTTTTTTAAATTTCTGCGAAACATCGCCCAAATTCACTTTGCGTACTTCTTACTATAGATGCAACACAATAAGAAAAGCTTTTGTTACGGTAGTCAGGCGTCAAATGGAGCAGAAATGATAGCTTGGTTGTGTGGATGTACATTTGTTGTAACATTGACACGGTGTAAAACCCAATGTCACACTTCCATTGAGTGATTTTTACACAGTTACATCCACACTTGAGGTATTGTTTCTGCTATATTTGAACCCTGACTATACCAAAACAAAAGCTTTTCTTGGTGGTTAGGTGTCCAGTTGTAAATATGCAATGTCAGTTTGGGTAATATTTTACATACGTGTAAAAAAAAGGCAAAAAAAGAATATTTGGATGTAACAATGACACGGTGTCAATGTAACATCCGAATTAATACATTTTTGCTCATATTTTTGTCAATGTACTTTCAAATGATTTCAAACTTTCTCAGGTATTGAAACACCTTAAGAGACAAATATTATGTTGAGCAATTGTTTAGAATGCATTGATACTTTTAATAATATAACCCAATATATGGATGTAACATGCACTGTTTCCCAACCCGGTGGAATGACCCATGTACGTTATATTTTCCCAGTATTTTTCGTTGGCATAAAAGCCATAATGATCATAATGATACTTGAATAATATTCCAAATGCTATGTCACCATTTGTGCAAGGAACATTTAGCAATGACTCAGTGGAAGGCATATTATATTTCTATAAAAAATTGTTTTCGGTCTCTTGGAATAGTAAATAGCTGATTGCATGGATTGCTTGAAAATGAAATATCAAGTAAGTTCCTCATTTTCTTAAATCTTGCACAAAACCTGTGCTATGTGTCATTTTTGGTCGGTTAATATGACAACCATATATGCATTCAATTGCTTTCTCAGGTTTTTTCTCATGTTCTGAGAGTTGTATTTTGTAGTAATGCATTCAAAAGTCTCCTAGTGGTTTGTTTTCATACATTTTTAAGCCAAATATCAACCCAAAAAAAGATTAAAACAACCAACAAATTGCTTCCGTTGAGACGGGGGTCATATTTGGATTTTTTATTTCCACGTTTTATTGCCTAGCGTACAAGCTTTCAGATGGTATATGAAATACCCAAACATTTAGAATACTACTGAAAAGAGTGCAAGAATTTAACTTAAGATTGGTGTAATCATACCAACTAAAAGTGCCTCAAGACAAACCCAGGACGACAGTGATGCGTTCATAATTTCAATCAGTGTTGGAAGTAGGATGTGGATGTGTTTGTTTTAGGAGCCAGGTTGGGATGGGATCTACATGTAACTGGCAGGACTTTGTGGCTGCCTGACTTATAACTTTTAAAATCTGATAAGGTGCAGTTTGACTGCAGAGATGCATCTTCAGTTGCAGTGGACTGTACGTACATGAAGGTTATCTATGAGGGCACGACTATTCTTGACTTTTCAGTGAGAAAGTTGCTAAAATCGTTAGCAAGTTTAAAGGATGTGTACAATAATGCTGGGTTTTGTCGGGGTGTTGCCATCAACTCATTAATAAACTGGAAAGCCTGTTTTGGATAAGAGTTGACAAATGAGTTTCTGAAGAACTGTGATTCAGCTTCAGTAAAAATGCCATGCATAGCTTGCTTTGTGGCACCTATGCAGCACCCATATTTAGATTTTGAGCACTTTTGTTGCTTCAAACGAACGAAAAAATACACAAACATGACAAATGACAAATGATCTACATGTACTCTACCTTTAACAATTCTTTATCAATACACATACCGGAAAAAATGTTACAACCTGATGCCACTTCCGCGACTATGTACAAAGTCTATGGAGAGTCAAGAAATTGTTTTGAAGTATTTTTTAACAAAATTGGAAATGTTTCTCAGTCCCAGATTCATGTCTTATCATCATCATCATCATTTTTGCAATGAATGACTTTCATTAAGACGATATACGTGTATGAAGAAAAAGTGGCGTCAGGTTGCAACATTTTTTCCCACATGCCAGTACAAGTTTTTATCATGTCAGATGGTGTCCAGCACCAATTTGCGTATAATTTATTTATATAAGATGGAATTTTGCGTCGGGTGATATAAATCAAAGTAGGTTTTGCCCTTCACTGACGTTTAAACACTGTATACTCAGTGTGTTACCTCCCGAGTGAAAGCTGGAAAAAATCCCTCGGGTGTGATTTATATCACCCGACGCAAAATTCCATCTTATAATAGTTTATGCGGTACCCGCTGCTATGTACATCAGATTCGAACCAGCCAACCGATCCCGTTAGCTCGGTAGTCGAGTGGTAAGACATCTGCACTAGAAAGCAGGAGGTCGTGGGTTCGAGTCCCACCCGAGGGATTTTTTCCAGCTTTCACTCGGGAGGTAACACACTGGGTATGCAGTGTTTAAACGTCGGTGAAGGGCAAAACCTAATTTAATTTATTTATAGTTTCTAGAACAAAAATTCCTATCATTCCCTTGTCGCAAAACAAACCTGACTATATGAGTGAAACAAGCTCATTTATTAAAAGTAGATTACATTATTTGTCATTGTGCATTTTTTCGTTTGAAGCAACAAAAGTGCTCAAAATCTAAAGACAGGTGCTTAACAACTGACCTGATGAAGTTTTTAGCTCAGTGAATGCTGTATATTTTGAGAAAACAATGCTTCTAGGATCTCTATCTCAATTCACATGTTGCCAAGACATGTTTTGAAGTGCACCCAAAATCAGCATCTGGGACACATTGTTATTTCACCGATTATACGATAACAGCAAATTATAGCACCCACACGAGCGTGTGCGTCGTGTCAATGCTTGTGGTCACCAGGGTTGTAACCAAGTCATTTTTTTTTTTTCAAGTCAAGTCAAGTCCCAAGTCAAATGTTAGCAAGTCAAGTCTCAAGTCAATTTTTCACAAGTCAAGTGCCAAGTCAATTTTTTTTTCAAGTCAAGTCAAGTCTCGAGTCATTCTACGTACAAGAACCAGTTTATTATGTGTTTGAAGATGGAGCCGGAGTAGAGATGGAAATGGGGTTTATCAAAGCGTGCATCATGTAAGGAGATCAAAAATAGTATTCTTTTCAAACATCCTCTCTCAAACACCACATTTGTATCTAAAGAGGCTAAAAATGCATTTGATATATTTTCAAACTTGTTCCATCATGTTGAATGGTTGAAGGATGTCTGACAGAAAGTCCTTCCAATTGTTTTCATGATGTGAATTCTTTTTGCTTAATGGCGGATTGGGGGGTAGCAGCCGTTTTACGGTAAACTACTCAATATGTACATGCAGCCTATGGTCAATGGTCAATGGAATGACCGCTCTACAACAACGGATAGTACTCAGTTGGTACTCTATGCACGGCACAAACTTCACCTCCCATTCAGGAGGTTGAGTATTATACGTTGTTCAAAACACACGCCTGCACATAGTGCTAGTCATGTACATGACGTGTGGCGATGGCAGCTCAGCATGCCCAGCTATTGCGTGCTGTTTGCTAATTCGCTTTGTACATTCTTTTTAACCGATTATGCTATTGCACACGAACGCCCAAAGGTTTGTGTTTTTTGTAACTTTAAGAAACGTGTTAATGTCAGCAAGTCAAATTTATTTGAGTCAAGTCAAGTCACAAGTCATATTTTTTCAAGTCAAGTCAAGTCTCAAGTAATTTTTTCTCAAGTCAAGTCAAGTCAAGTCTCAAGTCCAAAAATAGCGGTCACCCAAAATTAAAAATGAACTACTAACAGAAAACATGCTTCAGAGGACCTTTTATTGTTTTCTTCAAAATGACAGCAAGTTCGAAAGAATAATTTCAAAGGGAGTTCAGTGCCATTACCATCTTTAAATCAAGCATGCTTTTCAATAATAATTTTGTCAGTTGCTTTATGGATAGCTGCAAATGATATACATGTACTGTACCTTTAACTTTTGAGTGTTTTGTTTTGATTCATTTCTCTTAAAGGCCTTAATCTGGGATACAACCAACGGAAACCAGATTCAGAAGCTGACAGTGAATGCAACAATTCTTGATGTCTGCCCTTTCCAGTTTAATAGGCAGAGCTTCCTCGCTGCTTTGACCGAAAAGCAAGTCAAGCTATACACCTGGCAGCCAAACAAATGAAAAGTGCACAAAGCGCATCACATGTTCATCACATGACCATTGTATGGCTATCGTTAGGGAGACCTATTCATCGCAATGTCACAGAATAGCGGTAGCCTCATCAGCTCTTCTTCACCCAAGTGGATCTTTCATATTGTGCTTCATATCTCTAATGTGTGTGCTTTTGTGCCCTCTAAATGAACACACACTCACAATGGGCCTGTGAAACTAAAATGCAAAATCAATATTTACTGCTGCACGACAGTTTTTTCAAGTTCATCTTTACTTTTATTTCTTTGTTGTACCAAATTAAGTTTTGTGTCAAATAGATTAGATGTCATTAATGCCCCTTTAATGTTGTTCTATTTTTATTTAACCCTAACTGCCCTGAATCCTTCAAAATCCTCTTTGCCAAAGTGGAGGAATTTGGAGGATTGAGGTTACATGGCAAAAGTGCGTTACTGATTTTGTAGGATGCACTTTGTCAAGGTCTTGGGGCCGGACCTTGTGTTGTTTTTGCTCAGCCATGCATAAATATAAGCCTGGATTATGCTTGAAATCCTCCGTACTGCTCCAGAATGTCACTGGCCAAGCCTCAACATATTGACAGTCACTGCCGCAGGATTTTGCAGGATTCAGGCTGTGATCACCCCTCCATGGACCATATTCAAGAAATAATGGAGGAATTTGCAGGATTGAGGCTATATTTTTCCATGAGGCCAATTGGAGGATTTTGCAGGATTGAGGCTACATCCTAGTAAAAAGGCCTAGGGAGTTAGGGTTAAAGTATGGTGCCTACTTTATGCAGTACTGTGATTTGGATTGACCAACAATGAAAGTTCAATCAGTGGTGGTAGGGCTGTGCCTAATATTTTGTTTTTTAAGTTGCTGCACTAATTCCAGGGTATACAGTGACAAAGATACCGCGGTATTGGGTATAGTCCGGTATATTGGGTATAGTATAGTCAATTTAAGTTAAGACCTAGAACAAATTGCAAAAGAAACCATTCAAAGTGTCAAACGACTTCAAATAAATACACAATCAACATGTGAAAAATCCAATTGTTTCTATTGAGTGGAAAGGTGGGGGGGTTTTTTGGGGGGGGGGGGGGTTTCAAGCATTTTTTTAGATTAAAATTTGGGACATTTCGTCCTCCAACAATTCGTCTGGTAACTTGCTTCGATTTAGGTTAATGTTTAGGATTCAGGACCACATGCAAGTGCTAGCAGACGACATTGCGACGGAAACTTTTTAAAAAGGTTTTACGTGTAACATACAATTTCGTTTTGCTTTTAACATAATTTTTTTTGAGTGAGTTTTATATTAAGGGCAGTACACGTTTGTTATTAGCTCAACATTCTACTTTTGACAGGGATATGTCTGTTTCAAGTCACAATTGTATACAGGGCACTACGGATAGAGTGGACGATTTTCCGCCTAAAGTCCACAGACGATATATGATAATTTGCAAAAATGGATGTCTAAAAATCATGTTTGATCATACACAGATGGAAAACAGTTGGTCAGTGCCCATTGAATGAACCATTTTGAAAGTGAAGCGAAAAATCTTAATTTAAAGATTATTGATTGAGCACATGAAAATGATTTATTGGATTTGGTTAAGAACATTTAGGAAGTATTGGGCTGGGGTTGTGATGCTTACAGTACATTTTTTCAGTATATGAAACAAAACATCTTAAAACACTTTGATCACCATTAAAACAAATATGTCTATGAGGTTGATGAGAAACAGATGTACCGGTAGCTCTGTACATGAGCTTTGCATGTACGTCACGCATTTTTCATAAAATTTTGTAATTTAAACAGCTAAATGGTGAAGATCTTGATCGAGGTATTGATTGAGACATCTGCTTGTACTTTCAAGAGTGAAATGCACTAGGCTTACTCCAGAAAAGCATACTGGAGTCCCGACGAAACGATTCTTTGGATGGAACAGACCTTCCGCTATTACTTTAAAAAAAAAATAATGATCTCAATGGCATATGGTCCACGACCCCCCCCCCCCCCCCCCCATGACCTACCCACGAGGCTTCAATCTGGGGCCACGTATATTATTTTAGAGGTAATACACTTGTCACACTGCCTAATTTCTTGTCTCTAAAGCCCAGAATTCAGCTAAATTTTCACTGCAAGATTTTAATCCAGTTAATTTGTCTTCATTAAGGTTTTTTCTAATACATGTATACATGTACATTAATTTTTTTGACAATTTAGGTTACTTGTAAGTTATGCCAATGACCTTAATTCATCACAAAATGAACACACGAATCTTGGATTTTGGATATTTTCCCTAATATTTAAAATTGGACTCTGGCGTAGACACTTAAATGTTAACTTTAAATGGATCTCTTTGTGTACATCATGGCCCGGCCTTGTTTCAAGTAGACCTGTTTATGCAAAGATTTTCCGTTAAACAAATGGTTTATTGTTCACAAAGTGATTTATTTTAAGCAATAAATAATTCGGGCAGAAAACATCTCAAATTTCTTTAAAAAAAATTAAGAAAATATCATTTAGTATTTGGCGACAGTTTAAATTACCGTAAATTGTAATAATTGTGGACATAACAAAGTCGTCTGCTGTAATCAGTCGTGTCTCACGAAGTCTCATACGTGATGTGAACACATTTTTTGACGGTGAACAGATGCAAAATAAAAAATGACGCCCTCCATACGACTGGTTACAGATGATAAAGTAGTAGCGAAAAAGTGAATAAAAGCACTTTTCCACTCCTTTGATGAAATTGGATTTTCAGTATACATGTATATGTTTGCATGATAGCATTAAAATCAGTTCTATTGCAATTTGTTCTAGGTCAGGCCCTGTTTTGTTCTAAATTGACCGGACTAGTAGCACTATGTGTACCTTGCGCTTTTCGAGGAGAGCTGTTAAGTCATTGAAATAATAAGATAATATGTGTTGTCTATTCCTTCCTACATGGATGCTCCATACGCAGATTCTTTCTCATTGGTCACCTGCAAGACACATTTTATATCTTCTGCTTTTTAAAATCTGACAGCTTGTTACATGCCGAGAACCTGAGATTCTGAATTGGTACGCACAGTGTGAAAGTGTAGTGCAAGATTTACAATGGAATTGACAGGCTGCACTAGTGCACTCTGCGTCGTCATTTTGGTACTCGAAATAAACACACAGACCTGTACCCCGATCATAGCAGGCAAAAATTAATTGATTGCCAAAATTACGGATGTCCTCATGAATTTTCCATAAGACCTCGGGGTTAAAGTTAATTTTGGTGAAGCTCAACTTTAATGCCCTCTGTCATTACACATCAGCACAGCTTTTTCTATTTCTCGCAACCATGTCTCAACTGTTTCAGGACACGTGTTTATCAAACACATAGTCGTCCGTCTGCTTCACATGTTTGCCTGATGAGTACATCAACAATTTTCATGAATTTACATGCATAAGCACTTGAATAAACATGATTTCAGTGCATAAAATACCAATAAATGTCATATGAATTGTTTATCAGAATGTTTGGTTGTTAACAAAAAGATATTTGAAATGATATAATATCCGCTGTTCAAATGTTGGTTACAAAACTTTTAACAAAATTAATTTTCATCTTGAACACTGTGAGTAGAAAGCGTTCTGCTTTTGTAAACCTCACGAAGCATCTCAATATTTATCCTAGATTCCTTTTGCAAGTTAAGGGCCGGAGATCACATTGGTTGACGCCACCCGTCAGGTTTGGGGTACATGATTTAATATGTCCCCTGCAAACTTACAAGCAATCGATCACTAGTTTCGCCTCTCTTTCTGATGATTCCATCTGAACAAGATTTCAAATAACTAACTAAAGGTTTGCGTTTGTTGAGTTACAAATGCAGAGTGGTCGGGCGGACAGCCTTTTCATTATACACTGCTCAGTTAAGTTAGGAATATATGTTTATGTAGAACAAAGGATCACAAAAGTTAAAATAACGTATACATAATATGTGCAATATAATTGTTTGTATTAATAACACCTAACTTCCAGTTTGATGACGTATAAATAACACCTAACTTCCGGTTTAATGATGTTACAGCATTAGAGTGAAGTCCGAAGTCCTCCGTGATACGGAAAATGGACAGAATTTCACGGAAACCAAGGACAAAACGGAATTCACGGAATTCTATATTAACTGCCAAAAAGATACATGAAAACTTGAAAAGGAACCTAATAAACAGTTTTCGTATTGTCGTCTTCAATTCTTTCTTACCAAATATGCACATCATAGCAATACTGAAGCAATCACAAGGCCAAATGCACGCACGGCCGGGTAGTTACATTATGTACAACGTACTGCGACATCAGCATCACTGGTAACACGGCAGTACTGCGGGGATTCGTATTTGGGAACCCGCTGAGTTCATGTCATATCGCTCGCATTATATCACAACTGCTAAACGACCTACTCGGCTCTCACCGCGTGCACAGTGGTCCTGGATTGGTGCACAGGCAAGCCGTCCATCATGAATTATGCATCACAGAATGGCATTCCGTTGTATGCCATTGATAATGTATGTACGTGTATGTATTTTTGCGCGACTTTCTGTATGCCACTCGTGCGTGCTTACTGCGTGTGGTGACATCTGGAGCGAAACTTCAAGTGTGTTGTGTGTGACTGTGTGCGTGGTGTTTGTTTTTTTAGAAAACGGGAAAATTCAGACTTAACAATTAGAGATCCAAAGGTGAACATTGTAATGGATATCACTATTTGGACTGCAAAGAAATAGCAGGTATCAAATGATAGAATTAAATTAAAAATACGATCCCTTTCAAATTCTCCTTAAAATAACTTCCGGTCAGATGACGTCATGAATTTGAAACCTTGCCAAGTGATCTGTGGTTAATCAGAGAATATCAAGGGGCGATTTGGTAAACTTTGGATGGATGGTTTCAAAATTAAAGAAAACAAACTCTATTTTATGTGCTGCTAGGGGGTGCCCTTTCGGATGATGACGTCATCACACTGTTTTGTGTGTGTGTGTGTGTGTGTCCGGTATTCGTCACTTAACACTTTCATAATTTATATGCGAGTAGCCAAATGCCTCCGCTTTTGAGTTATATTCAGGTTTTTATTGCACTTCCGGTAACACCAGAAGTGAAGGTCAAGCGGTTTTGTGTCCGGGGACAAGAAAAGTTTCTCGCGGCATAGTCTACAACCTCACCAAAAAACAAACACGATACTCTATTTAGTTCAAAAGATATAGCACAAACTATTTTGTCAAGATTTGCCCTTAAATCACTTGTAATTTGATGTCAAGATGACGTCACAAAATTTACAACATCTTCATACTGGGTACCAAGTTTACACTAGGTTTTATTGTCACCACATCAACCGCTTGAAAGAAATCCTGTTTTCTTTTTATTTGAAGCTAATTTCTATATTTTGAATTCATCTAACTTTAACCTTCTAGTAACCCCAGAAGGAAAGGT